AGTCTTCGCCCTTTGCCGCCCCCTTATCAGCAACACTTGGAGGATAATTGCGAAAATTTCGTTGTCCGCTTTAACTCCTTGATTGGCCGCACTAATTACGATAATTACTCGAGTTTTTCAGTTGCGTCTAATAAAGGCAGGGTTATTTTTCCGCTGCTTCTTTTTGTTGCGCTTCCTGAGCCAAATCTGTCTCATGCTTTTTTTGGCTCTTGAAAGTGACCTAGAGATGGAGAGCTTCTTCAAGAGAATAAAAACATTTTGAAGACACGGTGGAACAGGATCATTGTCAGCTAAGGATTGTTACAAGTGGATAGCCGACAAATTATGATGATTGATGAATTTTATTGATTTTATCCACCAATATATTATGTAGTGCGAACCATGCATCCGCATTCAATGTATGGGTCCAACACCTTAGTGATGCAAGCGAATGCACTGGAGGCCCTTTATACAAGTGCATCTTCAATGAAGCGAAGTTGAGAGGCATCATGTAATGCAGTGATGCAGCGAGTAATATTAACCGTCGTGTTTTTAGATGGACGATATCTTTGTTCTTTCTGAACACGGAAAGTTTGCGCTCTATCAGTTAATATCATTTTGTGCTAATCTTTAAGTTCCAACCATTAGAGTACGACTTTCCGCTGAAAGAAAGTGAGCTGTTTGAGCTGAATTCATTATTCGTTGGAAAAATTAGTAATTTATCTGAAGTATTTTTTCCCCTTAGATACGTATTCATGGCTGAGGGTTCCCGAGGGCATCAAGAGTTGTGAAAATCCGTCCAGACAAGTTATCGCCGACAGCGGATGACAACCATCCACAAAGAAATATGCGCAAGAATGTTAGATCTCAGGGCCGTCATAATAATTTAAAAGTGACAGGTTTGATGCACCGGTGAGAGAAAGTCGATTTTAATTAGTAGAAAGACCAGCGTATTCTTGGCCAGCTAATGACACGTGTCAATTAGCTAATGAAGCGATCGGAACACTATCTGTCGGCAACGGGATAATCCAGAAAGTCGCGATTAAATTAACTAGCGAAGTGCACTTTTTACTGCTCCTTAATTCCGCAGAAAATAAAGCTTTCCTCATCTGGTGGTATAAGCTCTAGATCTAGCTCTGGCTCAAGCGAAGATGGAGGTGTCTAGACTACGTTACGTGACGGTTTGAATGCTTCTTTCGCAAAGGGAACACCTACTGGATTACATTTTGCAATAAGGATCCACTATTTCTGGCTCATTTTAGAAACAACATAAATGCCATTGGTTTCATTGTGCAGAAAGGAGCTTTTATTGAAGAGCCAGAGATAGTGGTTCCCTATTGCAAAATATAATCCAACTGCAACAACTGTTTTCGTACACTTCTGTTTTTATCACACACTAAAAAAAATAATATGCTGTTATAGCACCTAGGATGTCAAAAATGTATAGATGCTGATCCCAAGATGCTGCCTTTACTGCCCTCGCAGTTAACTTTACATCATATCAATGCAAATTCACCTGCGCGTGGGCAATCAAGGTAGCATCTAAGGCTCACCAGACGCATTTTTGACATCCTAGGTGCTGAAATAGCATTCCATTTTTTTCAGTGCAGCTTTAGATCCTCCATTCTCCTTAATTTTATATCAACTTTTGCTAAATTCAATGAAATTACTTCGTTCATAGTAACA